TATATATATATATATATATATATATATATATATATATATATATATATATGTGTGTGTGTGTGTGTGTGTGTGTGTGTGTATTATATTTATTAATTATTGATTTTAAAATACTTTAATTTGTAGCATGATAATTTATGATATTTGAAATTTTTTTACTGTCGTAAGAAATTTATTGGCAATGTTTCAAGGATAATTATAAAAAAGAAAAAAATACTATTTTTTTTTTTTTGAACTTAAAAAAAAAAATACTATTTACAGGTATTTTGCGAGGTGGGTATGGGGACGCCAACTTTATAATTTGGGATTTTGATGGGAAGGGGAATTTCCTCGGGGGACGGAGATGTGGATTGCAAAATTCGCCCGATACCCGCCACATTGCCATCCCTATTGGAATACGTATTTGACGTATTATATTAAATATTTATTTTGGCGATTGCTAAGGCAAAGTTGGTCCGATGTTATTTGTTTTAATATTTTAAATTATACTAAGTTTATATTATATTTTATTTATTTATCGTGTTTAGTTGAATCAAATTTAAATTTTGAATTTAACTCCCGTGCATCGCACGGGTGAGATACTAGTTTGACATAAATTGGTTCTATTTTCCAGTTGATGATATGTTGTGGACACTCGATAGTGTATCTTGTTGGTAATATCATTAACTGGCGCCTCTTGGCTTTAATCGGTAATATTTTTTTTATTTTTTTCGATGGAAAATATATTATTTGCTTTATGCATGAATTAATTTAAAAAAAAAAATCATTACAGGAACAATTCCATGTGTAATACAGCTTGTGGGCCTCTTCTTCATTCCCGAGTCCCCTAGATGGCTGGTGAGCTCGTAAATAATATAAGACGGAAGGTTCTAGAATGTTCTTTTTTTTTTTTTTTTAATCAATTTTTCATTTTTCTCATTTTATCGACAGGCTAAGATTGGTAAGTGGGATAGAAGTGAAAAATCTTTGGTTCGTCTCAGGGGGAAGAATGCTAATATTTATGAAGAAGCAGCTGAAATCGGAGTAACTTTTTTTTTTTTTTTTCAGTTATCTTGTTATTGTTCTAATTATTTGACTTCGACGAGATGCATATATCTATTGGGAACGATGATTTACAGGATTATACGAGAAGTTTAGAACAATTCGAGGACTCTAGAATGGTAGACTTGTTCCAAAGAAAATATGCTCACTCGCTTATCGTAAGGCTTCCGTTTTTAGTTAGTTCATGTCCAAATATTACCTATGCAACGCTATTTTTCGATTAAGAATGTCTCGTATTCGTTTAGGTGGGAGTAGGGTTGATGGTGTTGCAACAATTTGGAGGGGTCAATGCGATTTCGTACTATGCAAGCGCAATTTTTTCGTCAGCAGGTGAGTTTATTATTATTTTTTTTTTTTTAATTGAAGTCGTCAAAATCTTGATTGAAATTTACGATTTTACGATTGTCTACCTTGTTAAATCTTAGTAGAATCATAAGTAGGGGAGAAAGTTGGAATCAAATTCTTGATTTCCACCGATTCCGATCTGAATTGTCCAAAATTTTTTGAAGCCTTTTGAATTGGAGTTGTTCTAAAAAAAATGAAAATGAAATTAGAAGTGATTTTATATTTTTGAAAAAGAAAATTCAGAAAATTTATTCGAGAGGTTGATTTCTATCGGGCCTGCCCTAACATATACTTTATGGGCAAATTACGTCCACCCTCTGAGATAAGGTCAAATTACGAAAAAACCCTTCATGTTTGAATAATTACAACCACCTCTCTCAACTATATATGTATTTTCTTACGAAAAAACCCATCATTTAGTAGGTAAATTTGACACCGTAAAGGTGGACGTGTAAGACAATACATAGTTGAGGGGTGGTTGTAATTATCCAAACAGGAGGGGGGGTTTCGTAATTTGGCCTTACCTTAGGGGGTTGGCCGTAATTTGCCCTAAATGAAAAATAGAAAATATTCTAACTGCTGGATTATTATTGCAGGTTTTTCATATAGAGTTGGAACAACAACAATGGTCATTGTTCAGGTTAATATATTATATAAAAATATATATAAAAAATCACACCATTACTGTTAAGCTCGTCTTTCTACAGAAACTTCGTAAGACATTCCGATTTTGCAGGTTCCGATGACTGTTGTAGGAACACTACTAATGGATAAATCCGGAAGACGTCCACTATTACTGGTCAGTAATTTTTAATTTAATTCTATAATTCTTTTTAGCTCTACAAATATTAAATATAAAAAAATAAAAAAACGGTCTTATGCTGCTGCAGGTTTCGGCAACGGGAACTTGCTTAGGTTGTCTTCTGATTGGATTGTCATATTTATTACAGGTTAAAATCGTACACACAAATATCTCGATAATCTTTTTTTTTTTGACGTTCGACATTTTGATTAGTACTATGTTTCCGAGTGTAGGATCATAAGCTTTGGGATTTCAGTCCCTCTCTAGCATTTGGTGGTGTCTTGGTAAAATGTTACATTGCCTTAATTTTTAGCATTTATTATTAATATTTTCATTTATTTTTATTCAATTTTACAATTTAATGGATTTTAAATTCTCGTAATTTGATCAGATATTTTCGGGATCATTCTCCTTAGGCATGGGAGGGATTCCTTGGGTTATAATGTCAGAGGTATATAACATATGATACTTCTTCCTAGATATGTAACTTAATTTAAATTAAAAAAAAAAACTACTATATTATTATTATTAGATGAACTTTATATTTCATTCGTTTATTATTTCAGATATTTCCGATAAACATAAAAGGCTTAGCTGGAAGTCTTGTGACGGTGGTCAACTGGTTCGGCACTTGGATTATTACGTATTCGTTTAACTTTCTCGCACAATGGAGCTCTGCAGGTACCTCGTTTTCTTCCTCCCGGGTTTTTTTTTTATTTTTTATTTTAATTTTTTTAGCAATTTGAAAGATGACTATCGGGTTTTTGCGATTCACTTAATTTTGAGCTCATGTGTTCAACCAATTTATATTTCAGGCACGTTTTTGGTGTTTGCAAGTGTATGTGGTTTAACAGTGATCTTCATCGTAAAGCTCGTTCCGGAAACGAAGGGCCGTACATTGGAGGAAATTCAAGCGTCCATGATCATGTTTGGAACGGATAAATAGTACTTACTAATATTGGCAAAGTCATTGTTAAGTTGGGTTTCTGTTAAAGTGTTTGCAGTGGCGAATCCAGGATTTCAGTTAAGTGTGTTCAAAATTTTATAAATAAATAAGTAAATAAACAAATAGTAAAAGAAAAACAAAAAAATCTTTTTCTTATGTAAAAATAGTAAAATACGGCGTTTACAATATTTTTGTAGTGGTTCAATTTATTTAAAAACATTCATCTTATCATCAATATTAAATTTATGTTTTTTAAAATGTATGATACAAAAATATATCTAACAATTATTTTCCATTGATTAGAATGGCAAAAAGCACCCCTTTGGCAAATTCTTGATCCAATTGTTTTTCTGAAAAATGTTTTACACAAAATTAGAAGGGTAGAACGGTCTATGTTGGTCGAAAAAACCCTCATCTCCACCATCTCACCTTCCATCGTCCCCGTTATTTTTGCCAAAAAATAAAAAAAAAGAAAATCTCTAATGTAGCTAAAATCAATATTGAGGTTTTATATTGTGTGTTTTTGTCATTTGACTGATATCCTATGAAAAAAAATTCTTGCACAATCCTTCTCGATGTTCGACAAAAGAAGTGTTTTAAAAGTGAAAAGTAAGTGCTTTCATGTTCAGGCATTCAAACCCTATATTTCGAACCAAAATAAGAAGTGGTTTAGATTTTTAATCGTTGTGATTTATATTTGGTTAAGTTACACCTACACCCCTGAGGTTTGGTAATTATAGCCACCCCTGAAAAAATTACATGAGCCATCAATTACTTGAGCCAAGATCAAGTCTTGGGGACCGATATGCATTACATTTATTTCTCACGGGGCTATTAATACTACCATAGAAGAAAATTTATAATTCTTATATAAAATAATAAAGATTTAAAAAGTATTAGGAGAGTTATGTCACCCTGTGTTCACCACTTCACGAAACTAATAGTCCTTCAGAACCCCAACTTAATAATTTATCCAATGTATTAGTTTTTAACAATGTTCTAGGAGTGACTGTAATTACCGATACTACATGGATCTTAACGTTACCCATTATATTTTGATTGATATTTTTTTTTAAGTTTTGTAAGATTTTAACGTTGAGTTTGTGTCAAAGAAAATACTAGGAGTACTTTTGCTCAAAAAAATCGCACATGAATTAAGAAAATGTTTTGTCCTTAAAGATATAATATGAATGTCTCACTATATCTTCTTAATTAACGTTGAAATCATTTTTTATATGAAGATTTTATTTTATGCATATTGTCGGAGGGTGCATCTTGCACATCAAAACTTTGCAATTTGAGGATGTTAAATGCCAAACACACCTAATTGAAGGGTGCAGAAAGGCCAATTACCACCTATATATCCAGGCCAAATTACAGCTAATAAACATTTGAAGATTCTTTGCATGTAACTCTAGAATTATCCATATTTCATTAGTCATATACTCCATAAGTTTCACAATAAGCTTTGTTATTTTACGGAAACAAATGCAATTAGTTGTTTCCGTATTGAAAATTTAATTCATAAAAATTGACCTTGGTTGATGTTTATTAAATTTGGATAATGTAATCAAATTACACTATAACTAGTATATATATACGGAGAGCAAGGCGAGTGTGTGGGATGAAAAATGGGATGAGAATGGAAATGACAACCGGAATTGATTGTCTGAATTGTAGGGAATGCATTGAATGACCTTTTTTTTTTAATAGAATGAACTTGTTAAAATAGAGTGGTAGGATTAAATTCATCCAATAGTTGGGAGATGTTATAAAGTTTTCCAAAAACTTTCACAAAATTCACAAAATAATTTCTTCTTTGAAACCTTTTACATTTTTCCTAGACTTAAGTAAATCGTTCTGCAAAATTGTAAATTTTACATACGTAGAATATTCTTGGTTATAGAATAAAGTCCTATAAATTTTAGAAGCTTTGTCATATGTGGATTACTAATATCTTATGTAACACGCCCTTTCTCCGTGTTCGTTTTCTGTTTCCTCGTATCACCGTTTCTGTGTCCGCGCTACACATGCTAATCTCCAGTACTAAGATTTCACATTGTAAAAAGTACAATGAATCCGGCAATTAGCAAAAAGTCCATTTTTAAAGTTTTTATTTTTATTTTTTATTTTTTTTATTAAACTATTAATCCTCCATTTGGGTTTGAACAAACCATATTCTCTTTTTTGTTTTTTTTCCCTAGGTTAACTTTACTATTATGTTACTTACATTATTGTGATACTATGACTTGTCAAAACAATTAATAATTCAATTCTTTCATTTAAGCACAAAAAGGATGCCCATACACGCCTTTACCTTATCCACACATCTAAGTAGACATAAATTTCCTCCTCAGATATTTTCTTCTTTCTTCTTGTTGTCCATAATATTAGCTAACACTATACTTCTCATACTTCTTTCCAAAAAAAAAAAACAATTTCAGATCCAAACAATTCATTTTCCCTTCTTCCTTCATCCCTGCCAAACCAAAAATCCAAAAAAAAGAAAAAAAAAAAAAGAAAAAGAAAATCAAGAATTCCCATGCATGCTATAAAGTTGTACTGTATGTCCATGGCTGGAATATCAATAAGCCCTATATGCCACATCAAACACAGCCCAACTCTAATGAGTAGTAGAATTTCAACCGCGGTTTGTTGCCAAAATCGAGATAACGACCGATCGAAAGAGAAAACGAAGAAGGAGATAAAAACGGTGAAGAAGTATTTGGATGGAGTAATGCAGAAATTTGGAGAAGGAGTGAAGGAAAATTTGAGTCCAAAACAAAAGGGAGATTGGAAAGATATAACACTTATGAGTCTATCTTTTGCTGTTTATATTTACATGTCTCAGAAGATTGTTTGTGCTTACTGTGCATGGATGTCTGATTTCACACATCCATGGTGATCATTAATTCATCAAATATTATTTTTAATTATTTTTTTTTTAAACTTTCTGTTGTTATATAGTGTTGATAGAGATTGGAATAAGAAGATTTTGGATCTTTGATGATGAACCATGGGTTCTCATGTAGCATATATGTATGTACATTTGAATTGTAAAAATATAATTGGCAGTTGTTTCTTGATCAATAGAAATGTATTATTGGCTTAGCACTACGACAAGAAAGCCATCGATAAAGGTTTTTTATCAAGAATCTTAGGGGTGGAAATCACAAGGAATGAATCAGTAATGGCTTTTTCGGAAAATTTTCAATTTTTTAAAAGTAAAAAATGGTAACAGTTTATGTTCCCAAAAAATTGGAATTCAAAATTCATTCCCATTTCGGAATGCTTCAGAATCGGTGGAATTTCGGAAATTTCGGAAATTACATTAGTTTATAATCTTTTGTTCAAAATTCGGTTATAAAGGGAATTCTCACAATATTTTTCTATCTTTTTCGAAAATTTGCAGGAAAATGCAAGAAAATCCAAAAGAAGAGTTCGACAAAACGAAATAGGATTGACCTAGTGTTAAATCAAGAATGTTATAAAGAAATCACATTTAGTAGTAGTAGTACTAGGTTGTGACAAATTTCATACTAAATGCAGATATGAGGAACCAAACATTTTACAAGCTAAACAGTAAGCTAATCAACAGCAGGCTGACAAAAGGGATTCCCATCAACATACAACAGTAAGATGAAGTACGCTTACGCAACAAAAACGGAGAAAGTGCGGTACGAAATCAGTCAGCTTTCTGCCTGTGTCGCCTCAGAAGGGAATAAAATACAGACAGTAGCCATTGCCAAATCAAAATCAGCCAATTTTTCGGCTCCGGTTTAGGATCTGGCCTTTGTGCAAACAGCCCTTTGTAGAGCTCCTTCTGCTTATGATAAACAGCTTTGTCGTCTTCTGCCAATAAACGCAGCTCCTTTGCAATTGCTTTGTCTTGTGGGGCATATTTACGCGCCTTGAGAAAATCTTCTCGAGCAGCATCAGTTTGCCCTAGTACTGCTCTAGCTTTGCCTCGTCTAAACAGTGCTTTCACATTACTTTCATCCTCAACCAAAACCTATTATATAACAACCCCATTATCCAATCAGCACAGCTTATAATAAGACACTACGGTTGAATATTTCTTTATGTATATTAGTTAACAACAAAGTACGAAAAAAAATTGCGTACAATGCCACATTGTGCAATGGCTTCATCGTAGCGCTCGAGCTTTATCAGGCACGCTGCCATGTTGAGGTGGCAGGGATTTTTTACTGCCAATGCCATGTCACGGTACTTACCGTACAGCTGGAACATGAAGTCGTCTCCCATATATGCTATAGCCTAAAATCACGAGATAATTACTTATTGAAGGAACGAAAAAAAAAAACGAATTAGTAAAAGCAGAGCAATATTTGGTACCATTTCATACTGTTGCATTGCCTCCTCCAATTTTTCCTCCTTAAATAATAAATTCCCATCCATCTTTCTTCTATCTGCTGCACCGATTCTCTCCTCTACTGTCATGTCACCACGAGCTTTCCCCTTTTACAAATTTTCAACATTTGGAATTGTTATTTTTTTCTTTTTTATTTTTGTATCGATATAATTCAATAAAAGGCCCAAGCGTATAGGAAAGTCTTTCTGAATGCGAGTATAAAAACACTCACTTCTTTGGTTTCATCGAAGCCGATCAATTCAACTTCATACACAATATCTGCCATTGGAGGAACGTTTGGAAAAGAAAAGCTCCCTTCTTTTCCATAGCCTAGTTCACAACCGACACGCAGCAGTGCACGTTCACCAGCTGTCATGCTGGAAATGCCAATAGCCAACCCGGTCATTTCTTTTTTCTCTGTATTAAAGAGTTACTGAAACTTCATATCACATTTTCACTTGAAAAAATCCATACTATATACTAAAGAGTGCCGCCATTTAAATGAAATTATTTTACTATCGGGAGGTGGAAATATAACCCTACACACTGATATTGAGACTGAAAAATAAGTTTTGAAGACAACACCAGAATGAAATAAAAAAAATTACAGTTTTATATGATCGTATTATCAACAGAAGGATAGAAAGCTGTAAAGAAACTTCGGATATGTTAAGCGGCGAAAGATTTTTTGCAAAGTCGTTGTGCAAACCTTTTCCTAGGACAATCTCAAGGGGTTGTTGTTCATGCCATGTATCTTCAAACTTGTGTTGGGTGCTTTCAGTCCATGCCCTATAATGCACTGCCAAATAAACCAAAAACGAAAAAATAAAAGGAAAATAGAAAAGACAGTGGTAATTAGTTTTACATTAATTACAAATTTCTATTTGAAACTTGAAAGAAGTAATTCAGAAAGGAAATCCTTCTGTGTATTCTATAGTGATTTACTGCGTCAATTGTCCATTCTTGGTCATTGAGATTCACGTCAATTTGCATTCAATTTAAGTATAGATATTACCTCTTATTTTCTCTCTTTTTTCAAAAAAAATTAAATGATTGAAATTTTTCTACTTGGTATCGTGTTAGGTCTAATTCCTGTTACTTTGGCTCAGATATTCGTAACTGCATATTTACCATACGGATGTGATCAATTGGACCTATGATTAATTAACGTCTAAAAGATAAATCATAAGAATAGTACCATTACTACATAACAACTTGATATATTTTCGACCCAGCTTTTTATGGAGAAGTAAAAACTATTTACAAATATTTATTGGAAGGAATTAAAAGTGACAAATAGAAGTTATGAAAACGAACTTACAGAAGCAAGTCGAATATTTCGATGGCTTCTTCTGACCATGGCCTTCCTTCATAATTTGCTTCGTCACTTTATCATGAAGAACTTCCACTTCCGATTCTACTTCAGGGGGCCCACTTTCTTCTTGGGGAGGTTCTCCATGCACAACCGAGGCACCTTCAGTGACAACATCATTGTCACCATCTTGATCTGAAAACAAATTGTCATGTGTCGTGTTTTCATCACTTGATGAGTTTCTCATCTCAAAAACCAAACGAAATTTGAATTATTGAATATTAATACACGACTAAGAAGATATTTCTCAGATCTGATATATGAACTGTATCATCATGTAATGAACACAAAGATTTTCTATATGACCAAATAGAACGACGGTTACTCAGTTCGATAAAAGAAGCGAAACAAATACCAAAGAACACAAATTTTAGACACCCTTTTCCGGAGAAAAAAACATGTCGAATCGCCGAAGGTGTATGTTTACTTACATCCAATGCTACAATTCTGCAAAAATGACTACATACACCATCAATACAATGATTTGAAGAAGAATATGAAGTGAAAGAGGAACAGACAAACAGTCGAACACCTTACGTGCATAATATTTTCGAAGTTATTAAACGATTTCTCACCTAAAAATCTTCTTCAATTACAGTCACAAATCACACAATTCAGATTAATAACTCATCATTAAGATATTATCTACTTCAATTGAACTATAAACAAATTCATAAATTTCAAAATTAAGGGGATTTCTGTACGATATCAAAGACAAAAGGTAGGTAAAGTAAGATAATCAATCACCTGAAACTGGGCTCTGCTGATCTTCCACTTCCACTTCCGCTTTCACTTCCACCATTATTTGGATCTTTTATGATTTCTTGGATTATTGGTTATTGAATATCGTCTTCTACAAATTTCACAGAATATTATTACAAATTCTGGTAAAAGAAGAAAAAAGGTTAATTTAATATTATTATTGCAAAGGGAAGGTACAGCAATAGTGTACCAGTTGACGGAAGAGACGAATCTAGCCAAAGATACTGGGAATGGGTCGGGTCAAAGCGCTGCCGGCCGGGTCGGGTACCAAAATCTTCCTAATTCTTCTTTAGTTAAAAGCGTGTTAGTTAGTATTAAAAACGCTGATTTTTTTCATTCTTAAAAAACGGACCACGCTTATTTTTTGTTGGGTAAAATTCATTTCGCCCCCTTGTGCTATATAGAAAACATCAAACGTCCCTAATTTTGACGGTCAACGGTGAAAAGTTTAATGGTGTTAAATTTGAGTGTGCAATGACTATTTTATCCTGATTTAATTCAATGAACTTAGAAGGTTATGGATACGATTTTAAGTAAAAATGAGGTGTATTTCTTGTGGACTGTTGATGATTTTTAGCGTTCGTTCAAATTAGAATTGATTCTCGATTTTAGTGTTTAATTTTTGGGGTTTCAGTTTTCTTTTTTTTTGGGGGTTTTTGCGATAACTATGAAAAAACTTTGTTTTCAATTTGCGATTCTTTTAAATTAATTAGGATTTCTTTTAGATTTTAGGGATTTTCAATTTTCTTGTTTTTTTACGAAATAGAAAAGGTTTTAAAAATGTTAAAAATGACTGGAAAAAAGTGGGAGAAAATGTCGGGAAAAAGTAAAAATTGATGAAAAATGGTCAACACTAAGCAAAAAATTATTTTGGGATATTTTCGTCAAAAAAAAAACCCAATAACTCTTTAAAACAACCGGTCAAAGGATTTGACTAACGGAATCAGGAAAACGGCTAACTACGGGGGGTGGGGTGTTTGATGTTTTCTATATATCGGGGGTAAATGATACGTTTCGCATGGTATAGAGGTGCTAAAGGAATTTTACATTTTTTTTGTTTCAATGAAAGTTCTTAATTGGTTTATTTTACATACGAACTCTGGTCGAAATGATTCAAGTTGCATAGAAAGCCCATAAAATGATTACAACTTTTCTGTTTTACAATTTTTGAGATTCGTTTCGTGCAATGTAGAAAAATATTTTAAACAGAAACGAGGTATTTTTGTCGAGAAGGACCTATTGATAAAAAGAAAATGTTCACACTCTAAATTTACATAAAAATAAATCGAGTAGTTTTGGCCTCGTATAAATGCACTCGACCAAACGTATGTTACAGTAGTAGTTACACAGTCACATAAAAACCAGTAAAAATATACAATCATCATAAATAGTTGAGGGGGGGGATACACATTCAGAAATTAGAGCTATATATACTTTTGCTTTAGGAGCTCATCAACCCAAAAAATTAAATAAATAAACAAATTAATAAACACAGCCCCTCTATGAAAATAGATTTAACACATAGTACCAGATAACATGTTCATATATATATACCTTCTCCGAAATTTTGCACCTTAAAACTTGCAAAATGGAAATTTGAAGTATATAAAAAAGATCAACTCCCAGCAGCCTTCAAGAAGTTGTCAAAGGGACTCGATGCTGGCAAACGAAAGAAATCCGGCTGAGTCTGAAACTCAGGTCCACATCGTATGGGAGAACCAGTGATCAATGGTATCTGCCGAAATAGAACAAAAAAAAGGGGCAACATGAAACTACCATAGTCGAAACATTTTCACGCTAACTAAAAATCAAATCTTCTAATAAAACAAATATGGTATGTACGAACATCATTCAGTAACAATCTGTCACTTTCTTCTAATGAAAGCCGTTTGTGCGAATTTTACTGTTTAATTTACGAAAATGCAATATGTGGAGTAATAAATGTTTTTTATTTATTTATCACATTTTCATACGGTAACCAACCATTACACAAACTACACTTATTACAGAAACAACTTACTGTGAAAGATCCTGGTTGAGGGCATGCATCATCATCAGATGGCTGCGTATCATGTGCCTCGTTGATATCCTGACTGTCCTGAATTAATAATAACGGGGCAGCCATGAAATTGGACATGACTTGATGCTTTCCGATTTGAAGAGCCTCGCAGTGGCTTGCCATATCCTTGAATGGCAGCTCAGAAGGCGTCAAAGACGAAAGTTGTACGACCTCTTTTGTTGTCTCTGAGACCTGAAGCAAATTTCACTTCAGTATTTACACGAAAGGGATTTTGATAAAAGTTACGAGTTGCTTCGTAGAACTTTAACAACAACTAAGTTTAATTGGTATGGCCAAAGTACCATGTCCATGAACTGATCGACACTCAGTAAACTGGGACTGTCCAGAGTCAGTTGGGAGCAGGAATCTGTTTGACTTATAAATGAATCGGTTGGATAGTCATCACTTGTTGAAAATATTGAATTATCAGCCTGCAATAAACAATAAGGGAAAATAGATAAGAGATATACTTTCGAATCAGAAAAAGGCTGCAGTAGACAATACTACCTCAGAAAGTCGGTAGGTCACCCCAGGCGTGTCTATGACTAGCTGAGGTCCCAATGGGCATATTTCATCGGGAATAAAATCTTTAAGCAACTCTTCCTTTATATTAGACGATTCATCCTGTAAATAGATCACAATTATCTTTTAAAGAGGTACATAAAACTACAAGATTTGGATTATGTAGAATCAAACCAGGTAAGAACATACATCAGATAGTTTTCCCATGTTTTTCAAAATAATGGAAGCAAAATATTCTGTAGATTGCTCCTCGTTAATTCTTATTGTCGATAGTGACTTTAATGCGTCTTCATCGTCTTCTTTTGAGCCATAAACTTTGACCATGTCATTTCCTCCTGTTTTATGATCTAGAGCCTCCAACTTACAGTCATCTACCAACCGGAGAAAAGGATCAATCTGTTGAAGCTTGTTAGTTAAGTACCGCAGCAGTAAAAAATTAAACATTTATGTTAACTGTGTCGATTTAATAAACAATATCAAAAGCCTAAGAGGAACAGGCCAAAAACTAATGCTGTTGCACCTACTATTTCATCCGTTAAGGCAGCCTTGGCATAGGTGGCAAGAGGGAGAAAACCATGGGCTTTTGATAAGAAAAGGATCATCGATGCAGCCAAGGTGAAAAGGGACCTGCGACGAGATGGTTGAAGTGGACCTACAAAATGAGTAAAATCGTTTATTAAGATTGATAAATCGATAAATGGTTAAACAATGTCTCTCTCACGTTTTCTGTGACCATATCTGAACGACAAATTTGAGTGACATCTTGAAGGGGGCGGAAATGACCAATTAGCACATAGTACAAAGTTTTCAAGGTCATCAGAAAGGGGAATCATGTGTTGAACGAGGGTCATGGTGTGGGTAAAACTAATGCAATATTATAAATATTGACCAAGAAAGAATCTTTAAGTGCAGGTCCAGTTGCATTTTGGGAACCCTTTGATCGATATATAGTCACCTATTCTTCAGAAAATCAAACTGCACTGGTATTAAAATAAGACAAAGTACAACTCTAATTCATCCATTGAAACTGACCTGCTCTGAGAGAAATGCTCCTTAACGAAAATGCTAGCTGAAAACTTCGAATGAGAATCTCGTTACTGGATTTCTGAGAATAAAGGAAAAAATCATCAGATGAAAGCCAAAAACGAATCATAATGGAAAAGTCTTGAAATGATTTAGGTGAAAATGCACATTGCAAGTGACAACACGATAATGTCATAACTTTGCAACATGAGACATAGAAGTATCCAAGCAAAAGTGGAAACACAAGCTAATAATAATAGTGTCTGCATTCTAATTTCTAATATAAGTGTGAAATGGAAAAGAGCTGGACATTAATTGTTTAATCAGGAAAAAGTTTCAGGTTTGTGCTTCCCTTTGATTGTTGAGAATATATAAATATTTTGTTGTTTGCTTCCAGTAGAAAACCTCAATTTTCTTCTACTTAAAAATCTCCCCTTAAAATTTCACTTCACTTAATTTTAGAGAGAGAGAGAGAGGATAACAACATGGATTTACAGAGTGGAATTACATTGACCAAATAATGATACAGATTATTACCTTGTTTCGTGAAAATAACATCAGCAAGCTGTAAGTATGAGCAATTGCTTCATAGTTTGCAGGAGTGTTCAAGTGAGAGATTGCCTGCACCCAGATTGATGAAAGCAAAAGGCTGATTTGTCGGGTTTTCAACTTGAGTGATATTCCCTTCTGCAGAAAGTTATGTCTGTTGTCACATTTGGTTTTACTATTTTAAATGAATTTCAAAAAAAACATTAAATATCTTAAGTACCAGTTCGTTCTCCATATTACACAAAATCGGAGGAAGAGAATGCCTTTTGACAGTAGATTTCCTACTATAGCTGGATGTTAGTCGCTTCAGCAAGGATTGGTCTTTGGCCTTACCTTCCGTACCAATCAAGATTTCATCAGCTTGATCTACAAATTTTTGTGATAGAGAATGTTCTTTTCTTAATTTCTCAAATAGAGCAGCCGAAGATGAAAAAGCGGAAGCCGATCTAGAGAGTGTCCTCTCTAAACTCGCACAGTTTTGGCTGGTGGAGGCAGTATTTGGGCAAACAGATGATGGAACAAGTACAACTGAAAATATGCGATGGGCTCCAAGCCTTGTTTCATGGTCTGGAGTGACCATGGCAAGAAGTATTTGGTGGAATAATGCTTCAGGGAAAGCCTATAGCAACAGAAGAATTACACAAGAACGATGAGAAGAAACCATATTTTCAAACATAGGAAAAACCGTACCTTGTTTTGATACAATAAATTTGGTAAGAATGCGACAATTTGTGCAGCACGATAGACAGCTGCAATTGTGTTTCTAGACATAACTGTTATATTTGAAATGCTCTCCAACATCACAGCCATCACATCCAGAATGGGCCCAGCATCTCCAACCTGCCTCAAAGAGAAATCTTGCAGTAAACAAAAATGATAAGAGTAAACAAAAATGATAAGAGTGTTTGTGCGTGTTTGTTTGTGTGTGTGTGTGTGCGCGCGCGTGTTTCCGTTCTATCATAACACCACTCCCACTACAGCTCAGCTTTCTGAAAGCAGTCTTATAGTTGCCATAATGTTAACACGTTTACTATAACATGTTGAGGATGAATAGCTAACCTTATGTGACAATTGAACAAGGCACTCATCGATGACTGCGTGAAACTTCCTATTCCATTGAATTATTTCATCTCCAAGTACCGAGTCATCAAGAGAGCAGTGTATGCTTTTCCTCAAATGTCTCATCATATCACTAAACGCACCAACAATCTTCACGGAAGTCTGGGCCTTCGTTACTTGAGCGAGGGATATAGCCACTTGAACAATATCAATCTGCATATTGGGGTTTTTCAGGACATTCTTATGATCAAGATGCTTGATTACAGTAGATAGTAAGAAATGAGTATTATTCCCTGCAAGATCATAGCAATCAGAAAATAGTGAACTTAGAAATGAAAATGACGACAAAAGGCTGATTAAGCCAAGGTATTGTGCAAATAAAGCATACCAGAATTTTCCATTATCGATTGCATATCCAGCAGCACAGGAAGGGCAAGCCCATGATCAGGCGACCATAGATTGCTTCTATCGAAGTAACATAACAAGGCTTCAAGAACACGCCTTACAGTTGTAGCCTCGGTAGCCAACTTTGCCATATTGTGCAAGCAAACTCTTGACCAGAATTTAGGACTTCCAGCATCTACTCTGTTTATTACAGGAAATAAATAATCAATAAGAGTGGCAATAAATAAAGGCATCCAAACAAAAATCTGACTGCAGCTGTAAACAAATTCAAAGAAGAATTACTTGCTAGAATAGTCTTTCTCGTTGACTATCTTCCTCCAAGAAATATCCCTTTTCATGACATCCGAAGATGAAGGAATTTGGTTTTCAACTTTATTCTGTCCTTGGTCACAATTGTTATTGGCATCGGCCTCCTCAGGGTCTTGACAATTTTCGAGGATAGCAGAAACAACCTGATCTTTTGATAAACAAGAATTAAATATTAAGCAGCAAAAATACACCTTGTGAGATGATCAGAAATAGTGACATGAAAGTTCAAACATAGTATGAGTTCTATAACATTTCGAAAGAAGTAAAGAGCCTATTAAGGAATGGAGAGATCATATATGAACAATCTTGGATGGATGTAAGCTCCAAAATATCGAATAGATATGGCATATTCTAGCTTTAGAATCTGATTTACGAAAAGACTCTTCTTAGGTAACCCTTATGATGCCATTAAGTCCCTAACGAAACCAGTGATACGTGTCAAATGTATCAATCATAACAAGAACTTAAAACATGTAGTCACTGTTAATTAGTTACTGAAAAGGTCTCCTAAAATAGATATATGCCAATTGCCAAATGAATGATAAAGACTTCTAGAAGTGTACAAAAATTCAAAGGACTCGCCAGTTGTCACAGTCCAAGTAATCAGAAATAATCCAGAAAAGACTTACATTGTCAAAGTCAGTTGAGATGTGACAGAATTCACCCATGAACCAAATCTGCCAGTCAAATGATTGGGGGAATTGTTACATACTTGAATTTTGTTTAGTAGAAGCCGAAAGAGGAAAATAAACAGTAGAATATAAATTTACATAACAATGCTAAACAACTCAAGGAGATCAGACAGTAGAAAATGTGAATGAATTATTGAAGTGCGAATTTTAAGAAAAACTCAGACTTCCTGACATACATATCTGGACACCATAGAGGAAAATACAGTGTAGCAACTTCCTTTACAGCATTCAGAAAAACTGAAAAACTAACCGTCCAAAGAAGTTCTATAAGTTTTACTTTATGTACTCCGCAAAACGGGTCATTAACATAACAATTATTGGTCCTTGTTGTCAGTTCATATTATCTTTTCATGTGCTGGTTTCAAGTGTGGTGAAAGATGGGTGAAGAGAGGGATACAGGGTGGACTTGTAGCCTTCCTGTTTAGAAACTTTGCGAGGAAAAGTTCAATCACAAATCTATGTCTGATATCAGAAACTACTTGTTGAGGTTATGCGGGACCCTTTTGTCTCCGTCAGTATTCCAGATTGTGTTGGGTGTACCCACGATTGGATCTTCACAAATAAGTTTAACCTCAATTTCGGTGCATGTTTTTAAATAATTATTAAACACAATTGACCTGGTGCATGTTACGTTGCAATGACTTTTGCTCATGTAATGTGAGAAAATGGTACAGAAAGTGACATTAAACAGAATGATTTTAAACAACTGGATTGGAGAATTCAATATTATATTATGCCATCAAAAGATATGGGCAAAGAAAAATAAATAAATAATTCATAGCATGGCTCCAAATAATTCTAGACTCCTATTTTTTCATAATTTTTACACAGATGTTCATGAGAGCAACTAATAAGAGTTCCAACCATATATTATAAAGCACTCTCATACACAGTCCGAAATGCTCGACTTCTTATTAGGACAAATGTTTTGAGAATTTCCTGGTTTGAAATATCTAAAGATGAATGCTTTTCAGTTTTCATCGAAAGCTTTGTTCCACTTCAATAGGGGGGTTGAAAATGCATGCACGAGTAGATGATACTCTTAAAAAGTTTCCAAAACTCAAGGAGCCAAAAATATGAATTCATCAACTATTTCAGAATAGCATAAAAAGGTTCTCTTCTGAGAACAAACGAAAGTGTTAGGTGCAGAAAGGGAGTTTGCACAAGACCCTGTTTTCTAGTCAACATAGTACTCATCCAAAAAATATCACTTTTTTGGCTGGCATTGCTTTATCGGGAACGGAAGGTATACAAACATAGCAACTTACTGTTGAAGAGAGCGCTTGAAGTCCAGCACAATGTAGCCGCAGTATTCTTTCATCATCTCCCATCTCTTGAGCTAGAAGACAGAGTTTTGGAATCAAACCTTCCAAGTTAAACATATAGGTACCATCCCTCTAAACAAACAAATTAAACCACGTCAGTTGAGTCATATAAATGAAAATACTGATAATGACAGATGAACTATGATTTATGAACAATACCTGGTTGTTTATAAAGTCAAAAAGAGCCTGGCAGCCAATAATTCGCATTTCATCATTCCTCGTTTGATCCAGCAAAGTGTTTATAACATTTAGAAAACTACCAGCAAACAATGGCCTGCAACAGAATAGAGTATATATAGACTAAGACTTCATGCAAAATTTACTTCAAATGACCAGGAGGTGAATGTTATCTTCAAATACTTTTGAAAGAGTGCGATCTCAAAGTAGAGACTTAAATTCAAATTATAAAATTTGCAAGAGATCTTTTCATCTTATATCACGAATACAAAGATATATATACTTCTTTTCTTCATTCATTGATTCACGATGATGCATTTAATAACAGGGGATCAAACGAAAAAGACGTTGGAAAGTAATTATGCATCAGCATAACAGGGTTGAGTTATTTTCGGGATGGCAAAGGTCTAGGGAAATACATCGATATGTTGTACCTACGAAATACTTTGACCAAACAAGAAAATGGACTTATATGTCCAGCAGCTCGGGATGTCTGCAAAAGATCATTCTTAAAATAGACTTATCTTGGAACAGATAACATGATCATGTGCTTCACTTTACGATTCAAAAATTGCAAATTGATTGAATCGTTAAATAATAATTGCTGGGGAAAGTGAATCCTAGCCTTTAAAAATATGTTAGAACTCGAAAGAAGAAGAAGAAAACTTAGTCTGGTGTGGCAATGGTTGTTCATCCAGCTTTACTCTTTTTTAAATAAAAAAGTAATACATAATATGAGATGAAATAGATTCCTTATATGTCTGCATGGGACAATTTAGTGCCTCATTTTCAAAATGAACTAGAATATGTGACAACTCACAATGTAAATTATACACCAATATGGGACCACTGCATAGCAACTCAACTAAATGGACAGGGATAATTGAACTCACATTTGCTGCTGGCAAGATATGATTAACTTCCGATAGATACACATGATAACTTTTACACGATTAACATTTGCATTTCTCAGTTCCCGATAACACCTTTCTTCAAGTAAACTTGTAATCTGGTCAGTAAAACATCAGTAGCAATAAAACTTCTTAGAGATAGTGCCAATTCGAAAAACATACCATTCCAACTGTAAAGCGTGAAAGACGATACACTTGCATGATGATAATGAATAACTCAGAAGTCAATTAAGTATATCAATATAGTCACTTGCATGATGATAATTAATAACTCGGAGTAAATTAATTATCAATATGGAAAGTTGGGTATGAAAGGACAATAACAGCCCTAGATAATGAACTAACATAACTTGGCTAACTCAGATAATGGGTATGAAAGGACAGTAACAGCCCTAGATAATGAACTAACATGACTTGGCTAACTGAGATAAGAAGATATGAATTAACATAGATATGTCAGTCATTTCAGCTTTGATGTAATCCTTCTTGTACAATACATGGAATCTAAAACATCAGGTTGGATTAACAAGAATTTGAAATGAGAGGCTTGTAGAAAATAATATGTGTAAATGTCAACACTCAACAGATATTCCTTTGAAATTAAATTTAGGTATTTACAAAAAGAAGCTAAAGGAAAGGCAGAACTGGACGGTGACAAGAATCGGAAACTTAATAGGACTCCATTAACGCAATCAACTAATGTGTACAAATGATAATGATAGCGAACATCCTAAATTCAACCTCTATAGAGATATAGCATATAGTCAATACTAATTTTAACATTTTTACATGTGGACTTTTCAACAAATATTATTTTTTCAGTGTGAAGAATACTGTACTCACTACGACGAAATTACAATAAAAGTATAAGCAGAGAAATTTCTTAGGATAATCAACCACAGAACAAAAAAATCTAACCTTGGGTACTCGAAGCGGATTTTTTGAAACGTATTCACACAATTTACTGATCTGTCGATCATTAGGTTCGTCCCCCTGTCAAAGGTAAAAGGTACAACGAGTGGAATAAGTACACAGAAATGTTAAATGAATTTGTTACCTACAATCTCCAACCAATGTTGTATTTTCTTGAAGTTTGTGTCTAAAGAAGGACAATTCTAAATTCTAACTTATAAAGCTGTTAAAAAAAAATCATATTTCTCACTAGACAATCTAAATATGTCTTTTTAAATTCATTGGTTACTTGAATAAGTGAAAAATGGATTCTATGTCAGTATTTTATATACTGGATGGTTTTGACTAACTGCAACTTTACTATACTTGATAACTGAAGAGCAAAGAGCTGGATATTTCGTAATTCCACGATTCATAGTAACATGTTGCTTGGTTCCCCCTCTCTTTTCTTCTTCCTCTTTCTCTACCATAATCTATTCTGTGTTTTGAAATTTCAGTACATCAAAGAGTTCTTATAATCAGAAAAATGAAAACCTACAATTTTCCCTCCAAACTTCGTAAGAAACTACAGTAGTGTCTTCAGAGCCCATAATAGAAACCACAATCCTTTCCAAGTAGGTCATGATCATATCCAACCCTTCAGTTGAGTTTTTTTAATCATTCAACCTTCTTAAAACCAACAGCAGATATACTTCTATCAAGTTCTCCTACATACATGATGCCAGAACTCATACATTAACTTCTCCGACATTGAGAACTTGAAGTACTTCTCTTTCTGACAACATATAGTCATGCACTTCACATCACTATAATGATGCTTTGGTATCAACGATAAAACTGATGGTTTGAATCTTTATGTTCAAATTTTGCAGCACATATAGTTCTTTTTGCCTCTGTTTGTTACATATCTTGAATTTTGCTCTTGTGGGCCATTGTATCTTGAAAATGCAAAATTAAGAGATAACAGGCCATTTATTCCCTTACAGACACAATTACAAACGAAGGCATATCTGGCATCATCCGAATGAAAGAGCTATGCAGTAGGTGTCATCCCAAATATCAAATATGCGTAAATTATCACCAGACCAACATTTCATGATCCAAACAAAAAATTGAATATAAAATTCCTAATTTCCAAACAAGAACGAGATTATCCAATTAAAAAATACGCAATAGATAGAGATAGAGCTCACCATATTTCTGGGGAAAATATCTGCCAACAGCTTCTTGTAACGCTTAACAGGGTGCCGCGATCTGGGCCGCATCGCCGGGCAACAGATGCAGAGGCTATCACAGAACGGCATCATTCGCTTCGACATCGCGCCCATCTCCCGCCTCAGCCCTTTCACGGTGATCGCAACCCCAAATCCCTTCTCATACGGTACTGAAAAATCCGCCAAAATTATTAGGGATTGATCGTTGTGGATTTGTGAATTGAAAATTGGAGAAATAAAGATGTAATTAAATATGCTGTGGATTTAAACGATCATCATCAATAGATGGATCGGGAGAATCGAATTCAAAATTAGGGATTGATGGGGAGATTGAAATTGGGGAAGAACAAAAAAAAAACGGTGGAGGAAATAAGAAAAGGTGGGGAGGTTTTTCAACGAACCTCCAACTTCCCCACGGGGTAAATGGTGAACATTGAAATTTGTTGTTTCCTATTTTATATCATATTTTCTGCATGGCCAACCTGTACATATATGTTTATAAATAAAATAAATATTTATTTAAAAATAAATAAATATTTGAGTTTAATAGTGTTATTTAAAATGAATGATTTGGATTTGATGACATGGTTTGGGATTTTTGTAAATGACTTTAAAATGAATTTTATTTATATAATTAGGATTTTAAATTAACAATAAATTTGAATTTGAATTTAAATTTAAATTTTAGTGTCACATTAATTCATCTAAATAAGTTGGATTGATTTGGTATCGTTAAATCAAATCATCTAAATGTATCATTGAAATATACAAATGCAAATGCAATACTTTAAGAAATATTGAAGTATCCGGCCGAGATTTGAAATTCCAGGTGAAAGTCGATTGAAGAAGAAATTAGACGCCACCACTGCAGCCATCCACACGCGTAGTCTCTATCATTTTTTTTTTCCGGTTGTATCTTATTTAGTTCAAGGAGTTCCAATAATCGTTTGTAATATCTATGTTTGATGTATACTATTTTAATTAAATCTAATAAATATTTACATCTATTTTAATATCTATGTTTGTCAGACATAGTTAGTCTAGTATGATTTACAGATCTCTTATGATTTGCAAGCTTATGTTTTTCTTGCACTCACAACAGTGGGTGAAGCTCCTCATTAACTATAACAGCTAACCGTCAAGAGGTAGGACAACTTATCATTCGTTTTTGTAATCCGATACCGAGCCTATTATATGTAACAATTTCATATCGTGTGTACCAAACGTCTGGGTGACAAATATCGAGGAAACCAAAAGAGGCATTTACGAGGAATTAAAAGTTGTTACATGACAAAATCACCCTCTTTGGTTTTTTTTTTTTTTTAAATTTTCTCAATTAATTTGTCATCAATGTTACATAATGTTTTGACAAAAAACACAAATTTGCCCCATTTATAAATTATAAAGAATAATTAGTAATATAATTTCTTTTCACTCAAACGTCACTTATTAAAAAGAAACGTGGTAATGTTAGATAAATTTTCTTTTCGAAAAATGGTTTGTTTAAAAACCAAATAAATCAATAAATTTTCTTTAATCAGGCCAAATTAGGAATAACTTTTGTAAATCATTCTTCATTATTTGAAAAAAGTTATAAGAACATTTTTATAGTAATTATATTAAATATTACTATTTATTTATTCTTCTTCTTATTATCATTATTTGTTAATGTAAATATTATTACAAATTATATTTTGTGGCTACCCGTAACTTACCCCTTTATTTTCCTCGCCCCCAAAATCCAGTTTCCTGCGGGGGCAGCGTCGGTCAGCGGAAAATCTTCATACTGAGTCTTCGCCGCTGCTCTCCGGCGAAACAACCTTTATCCCTGTAATTCCTCTCTCTCTCTCTCTCTCTCTCTCTCTGTATTTTGAATTTTTTTTTTGGTGTTTCAATGTTGCTTCCTCATCTTATTCGACAACCCAATATTAATTTTAATTTTAATTTTAATTCCTGCTTTCAATTTTCGGCAAATTGGAAATATATCTAATGATTTTGTGTAATTACCTTGTCCCGGCAGTTCGTTGTTGCTACTTCATAGTAATACAAGAGAAGAGTAAACCCTGTATTCGGGTTTCGTTAATTTTTTTTTTTTTTTTTGAAATAAATCAATTTACCTGCCCTTACAAAACACTGTCAATAGGTTTCGGGTTTCAAACACCATTGAAATTTGAATGAATTGAATTCTGGATGAGTACCGAGTTCAATATATTGGATAATTTTATTTAGTTATAGGGGTTTAGTTGGTTGGTTGTTTTGCATCACGGTGCGGTGGTATAGAAGGTGCTCGATTCTAGGAAGTTTAAGCAAGTTTGTTTATGTTCTTGAGCCCTCAATCTGCTATACAAAATCGAGGCGACACTTGAATTTGGAAATCTCTCTAGAATTTGGTGTGCTGATGTGTCATTTTATCTATGTGTGACTGAGCTAATCATTATTCGATGGCTTTATTACGATGATGTTTGTGTCTTGATGCTCTTTAAGTAGCTCTCAATTAGATTGTTTTTTTTTTTTCGTTTCGAGTCTCTATACTTGGTGAAGATTCGCACCCTCTTGTGTGATTTCATTTTCTATCCGATGGATAGGTACATAAAAGATTTGCAGGCTACAAATACATGTAGAGGGATGATGAACTCTGCTGGACATACTTTGATTGCTTCTTTAACTCCTCTTCATTCTCTTGTCCTGAAAAACCATGTCAGATTGTTTCCCAACTTATTTTATGGAAATCTCGCCAAATCAAGGAAATCACATCGCTACAATCAAAAGTGCCGTTTTCATAAAGAGTGCGTAATGGGTGCAACTCACTATCTTCCCCCTTGGTTCAGGTGAATCTTCCTTTTGCTTTTGATCATTTTCTATGAGTGCTTAAGTTTTTTTCTTCGTGTTTTTTGTGTTCTTTTTCTTCTCCCAGAGTGTTTTGTTGGCAATATATATCGTTGTAATTGCTCTATGTGATATACAGTATTGCTCCAATGATGGAGTTCACGGACAACCATTATAGAACTTTGGCTCGCCTCATAACGAAACATGCTTGGCTCTACACGGAAATGATTGCTGCAGAAACAATAGTGTACCAGAAGGGAAATTTGGTAATGGACGCACTTTTTTTCCTTTCTTTCTCTCTCTCTCTCGCTATCTCTCTTTCTTAAAAGAAAGATGAGCACTGCGGTGAGGAGTGTTCTGGCAAAATAACTTTGCACTATTGCAATAGTTTTCCAGGCTTTATATTTGCTGGTATGCCTATTTGACTGATATAAGTATGGAAAGATTGACATTGATGTAGATGGAGAACTATACTAGCGCAACCGTTTGGAAACTTTCTTTCACATAAAAGTTATGTTTGTTCAGTCTAAATTCGCAATAGATACGCAAGTAGATAAACTAGGAGCTTGAAGTGCTACGTGTTTGAAATTTTAAAAAATGAAAAATACAGATGAATAGGTGAAGTTCAATTGTACAATCAAAGAAAAAAATATTTATGGGAAAGGACAAGATTACAGTTGTACATGCATGCATGAAGAAATCAAGAATGTCTGTAGCAACATCTGTATCACATAATCGTATCGTTGTTTCATCCTTCAATATTTTCTTTCATAGATAGACAGCTGTGGTTTTCAGAGTGTTGATCTGACAAGGGTGTTGCATTTTTTTGTACTTGGTTGCTTGTCTCCTGTTCGTAAAACCTGGCCTTAGAATGAGGTCTGAGTTGATAGTATTCGTAGATAGTTTTAAGATTTTTCATCTGTATAAAATTTTTAATCAGGTATTTGGTCATTCATTATTTAGTACAATTAATGCTCTTGTTATTGTAAATTCTCGTAAATATATTTCTTCCAAAAGTATTTCAATCCCGTAATATATTTTCTCTGTAATAACCAGGATAAATACTTGGCATTTAATCCAGACCAACATCCTATAGTGCTTCAAATCGGGGGAAGTGACTTAACAAACATTGGTAAAGCAATTCAGCTTGCAAACCCTTATGGCTACGATGAGATCAATTTCAAGTCTGTTCTCTTATCCTAACATTCTTCAAATTTTAGTTTTCTAATTTTGACTTTTTTCAAATTGGTCAACTAATACATTTATGGGACAGCTGTGGATGTCCAAGTCCAAAAGTTGCTGGAAAAGGTTGTTTCGGTGTGCGCCTAATGCTCGACCCAAAGGTGTGTGCAATTGTGCTTGACTAGTTTTAGCTAAATACTTTATCAAGAATGAGTTCTGATTTGGCCACGTTGTCTTTTACAAGGGAAGTTTGTCGCTGATGCCATGTCAGTAATCTCCGCAAATACAGATGTTCCTGTTACTGTTAAATGCCGAATTGGTGTCGATGATCACGACTCATATAATGAGCTGTGTAAGTTCTTCCATTAATTTCTTAGTGAGTAGTAAAATAAATTTCTTTTTCAAAAGTACTATTTCTCCAACATCCAAAACAAGAGATGCACTTGTCTTTGAGTTTCTTCCATCTGTTCATTATTTAGTTTATCAAATTTTGGTTTATACAGAGCATGGAATATCCATATAGTAGTTAATATTCTGCTTTTACCCTCGACTTTATACTCTGAACGAGTTCTTGTGTTTTTTTTTTTTTTGATATGCTTTCTACAAAATTTTTGTGACGATGAACTTCTTAATTCTTTTTAGTTCTCGACTGTCGAGTACATCTAATATTCATCTGATTAGAAGTCTTTGCGTGGTTTGCGTTTCTGTCCATACGGTGTTATGCTTATGCAAATTAACGCCTTAAGTACGTTGTTTTTTGGAGACTATATTGTGCATAGTGATCAGCTATTGTATTTTCTCTACAGGTGATTTTATATACAAGGTTTCATCTCAATCGCCAACAAAGCATTTCATAATTCACTCCCGAAAGGCACTACTTAACGGAATCTCCCCCAAAGAAAATAGATCAATTCCACCCTTAAAGTATGCTTTTAGTTTATTATGTATTTATTTCAATTATCTCCGTTCTATTGGCTTTGATTTTTCCTTAATTAGCATGGCTAAGCTATGTGTTTGGCTCAAATTTTACAGATACGAGTACTTCTATGCTCTCGTCCGTGATTTTCCTGATCTGCAGTTCACCATTAATGGAGGCATAAACACCGTCGATGAGGTAATTTTCAAGCCCATATCCCATCATCAGACATACAACTTTGTCAAAACAAATATATATATACTCTTAAGCTTTTTAGGTACTTATTAAACGAAACAAAGAGTAGTTTCGTCTGAACTATAGAAACAAACTTGAACTCGTACTTATTGATCATTATTGCACTTTTTAGGTGCATACAGCGCGAATGGAAGGTGCTCATGGAGTTATGGTTGGACGTGCAGCTTGCAAGGAGTACGTTACATCTGCACGAACACATATACCTACATATTTATTTTGCATTATTTTGTTTTTAGTCGAATATATGTGCTATCAAAATTGGTATTGGCATGAGAAATGAGAAACCACGTGTTGACTTAAAGTCAAAATAACTTTCTTCTTTTTCCAGTCCGTGGAATATTTTGGGAAACATTGATAGTGCAATATATGGTGCACCTCCAAGCAGTCTAACTCGGCGACAGGTCGGTGACTTAACTTTATACTATTTAATTGTGATTAAATGTCTATTCACTTATTTAATTGTACTTGTTTCTTCTAAGCAGGTTCTTGAGAAGTACCAAGTGTACGGTGATTCAGTTTTGGGACTATATGGACCTAATCCAAATATTCGAGAAGTTATAAGAGTATTCATACTTTCTTTTAACACTTCCTTTGTCGATTGAATGATGATTGCTATATTTAAGCAGTAAAATATAGTTGCTAATATTCGTCGTAAATTAGTCTTCTTTATCTCTTGTTATTTAATATTCAATGACTGAAACATACTTTTGCAGCCTTTGCTTAATTTTTTCTATTCGGAGCCGGGAAATACTCTGTGGAAGCGCAAAGCTGATGCTGCTTTTATGGACCCGAAGCTTACGGTATGTTATTATTATTGCCTGTTCTAACGCTAAATTTCTTAAGTTTGATAGAATTGGGGGTGGAAATTGGACGGATTGGATTGGAATTAGCACTTCGGAAAAATTCCAACTTTTTTTTTTCTCTGAAGTGAAAAACTTCCAAAAAAAATCTGAAAATTCAGAAATTGGAATGAAAAAACATGTTCCGAAATCAGAAAATTTTGGATCCGAATTGTCGGAATTCCGAAAATCCAAATCTTTAGTCACCTAAAATACAAAATACATGATAATCTTGATATTTCAGTGTGAATTTCGGAAACAAAAATCGGATTTTTCGGAAATTGAAATCGGATCTGAATCTAATATTTACTCCGATTAAAAAAAAAACAAGGAAATTGAAAAATCAGAAATCAGAAATCAGAAATCGGAATTTGAAATGAAAAATATTGTGTCAAATCGGAATTGGCGGAAGTCGGAAATTCCAATCCAATTTCCACCCCTGGATTAGCATGTATTAGAAGCTGGAATTGAATCTCAGTGAGTTCTTTATCTGGTAACATAATAATTGATGTTATGAAATAGAGACCATATCTGTCGTTTCTATTTTGCATTATGAGAATCATTACTATAGTGGATACCATATCATCCATCGCCTTTTGCTCGATCCATTATAACAAACTATTTTATTATACTGCGGGCCAACAATAAATTGTTAGACTTTGACATACTAACAAATGAAAATTTTAAATTAGATTTGAGTACTACGATATTAATCAATTGATCCATAATCTAATTTAAACTAAACCAAAATACTTTCCGATGTCCGTTTTTGTAAATTCGTACAGTTCTGATTTCTGAATATGACAGTTTGATTTTTCCTTTTTTTTTTTTTGCAGACGATTACATCATTTTTAGAAGAGACGTTGGGTTCGATTCCTGATTCGGTGTTGGATGCTCCGATTAGTGAGGCAGCGATTGGTTTTCCGGATGTATTTGCTGATGCAAAAAGATTGCTACCTCCTCCTTACGTAGCAGAAAGAGAGGAAGAGCTTTTGTATGCTTAGTTTTATCGCAACCACCCTATATTTATTTATCGACAGTTTTTTGTACCCGAAAAAATGGTTAAGAACTAAGCCGTTAATTCATAGAAGCAGACAGTTTCGGTACAAATCGACAAATTGAAAAATCAAATTTATTACCATAAACACTAGTTGTGAAGCTAACAATTTTCTTTTGGATAGATCTTTTTATTTTATTTTATTTTAAAATTGTGATTTGATATGTGTAAGCACTAAGTTGTAGTGTTATTACTTGTGAAATATGTGGCCCATGATCAAAAGTTCAGTCACGTGGGGAAGGAGTAAAAGATAGTTTTAGTGTGGTCATTGCAGGTTACCAATGGTGTCTTGATGTAGACACATGTGTCCCATCCAATTGGTGTGGGGTCCATCACACACACCAAAGGTACATCTATGTGAAAATTTAATATACTTGTATTGTATAATGTGGTTTATATTTCTTCTTATAATGTGGTTTGCAAACTATTTTGTATTTTAACTGAGTTTATTCAGTGCAATTCGAGTGATTTCGAGTTCTCTGTCAATAAAATAGGGCAATTTGCTAAACGCTATGAACTCCAATACTCTTTCAAATAAGAACAAATGAATTTTGGCATTCTAATATAAGTTCTCTATTTTTCAAGGACGAAGTTACCTCACATTTTTCTCCTTCATCCCACCCATCGCCACCGTAACTCTTCAGATCTGCTCCACCCGGCTTCCTGCCGCTGCCATCGCCAAAGTTCTGACAGGTACAATCACGCACGCACTAACATAATCGCATACGCGAGGGCGCACACACACACGCACACATTGTTTAATAAGTTTTTTCTTATTAATGTAACGAAGCTAAAAGAAAATAAGTTTTTTATGTTGTTTGCGTATAATAATTTGGACGAATTACGCGCATCTGATCTCCATGAACTTTAAATGCTACTAAAAGTAAATTAGACGAATGAAAAATGTTCACTGTCCTCTAAGCGATACCAAATATTTTTTTAGGAACTCTTAGCTAATTTTCCCTATATAATATATAGAAACGTCGAGAGTATTCGTTGCAATTAGGGGTGAAAATCAGACGGATCAAATCGAAAAATACACCTCGTAAGAAATTGATTTGTTTTTAAAATAAACTTCTATTCATTTCAAAATCTTTTTTATTTTCTGAATAGTCTGATCTAAAGATAATTGCAAATCCTTCCAAAAGCATCATCAAATCTTCATTATAAAGATTCTCATATGAATGAATATATGTTGTGTGTGTCAAAAAAGGAAAGTACCATGTCACGTTGACTAGACTATAAATAAACACAATCAATTTCAAAAGAAGATATATCCTATCAATTTAATTAATCTCATAAATAAAAAGAAACCACAAAGATACATTTTACCTATAAATAATATAATAAAAATAGCCACAAACATACATTACCAATCATTGATTAAGATATGGTGATCTTTGAACTACCCCACTTCAGAGACACAGATTGGTTCATTTTTGCAGTTTTGCTCACCCAATTAAAATATAATATAATATATAGTAGTATTTAATAATAATAATATATTATACACAAATTTGTACAAGATATATATTATTTAATTTAAATAAATATATTAAGATAATGGAACATCCCCACTTGCAGTAGTTGCAGCCAATTGGTCCACTTCCCAACTTTGTCTTGGTGCCACTCCTTCATGTACTGCTGCATATTCCTACATAATCAAATATTTAATAAATAATAAATAAGTAAATAAAAATAAAAAATATTTTTTAAGAAACCTCACTTTCAACTCTTTTATTAGTCCCCACCTCTCCAATAATTCACCCCATAATTTCCTTAGAAAATAATTCTTATTATTTCATAAATTTTTTTTTTTCAGTTCATATAAAATAATCACTAAATTATTGACATATTATACAACCTTACATATCTACATTGTTATCCATAAAACTTTTTAGTATTGAAACACTCTACTCGACTCGACGTAGACAAGTATTTTTTTTTCTTCATGAATTTATATATGTAAGTACGTACGGATAGACGATTTTTCAAAGACGTTCGATTGTAACCTTACATAATTAAATAAAAAAATTAAAAAATAAAAAAAAAAATTAAATAAACCTCCATTTTGTTGATCAACTCGGCAGGTGAGTCAGCCAGGACAAGAATATGCCTGGCTGAGTCATCAATGAAACCTTCTTCAACTCCTTTCTCAAACAATTCAATCAAGCTATTGTAATATCCATCTACATTTAGCACCCCCACCTGTTTTTTTAATTAATTTATTATTTATTTAAATTAAATATATATTCTACAAATTATTATTTTATATATATATATATATATATATACACAAAATAAAATAGTTAAATAAATTATACTGGTTTATCATGAATTCCCAACTGAGCCCAAGCAATGATCTCTAACACTTCTTCCATAGTTCCATAACCACCTAAACATATATAAAAAAAATTATATTTATTATTTTTTTGCTTCATTTAATAAATATTAAGATTTATATATTATATGTATATATATATATGTTTACACACAGAAACACGCACCAGGAAGTGCAATGAATGCATCAGAATTTCTGGCCATTTCAGCTTTTCTTTGGTGCATATCAGCCACAATTCTTACTTCTCCAACACTTTTTCCAGATATCTGCAATAAATTAAAAAACAAAAAAAAAAAACTATTTAAATTAATTTCAGACCTAATCCACTTCAATTACAAACAATTTGTACCATAGTGCTTAATTATTATGTACCTCTTCTGCCAATAGAGCTTTTGGAATTACTCTACAAATAAAATAAATACATAATTAAATCATTAAAATATCTCAAGTGAAAAGGTATATATTATTATGGGCAAATTACGGTCACCTTCCTGAGGTATGGCTAAATTACGAAAAAACCCATCTCGTTTGGGTAATTACAATCACCCCATCCTTTTATATATTTTTACATAAAATACAAGTAATTCGGCTATTTACCGAACCAAATCGTATATTTAGTTCGGTAAACGGTATGAAATGTTGGCGTACCGAAATCTTGTTTCTATTTTACCGAATTAACGTCCTAAATTTACCTCTGAAGGGGTCAGATAATACATAGTTGAGGGGTGACTATAATTATCCAAACAGGATGGGGTTTTCGTAATTTGACCATAACTCAGGGTTTGACCGTAATTTGCCCTATTTTTACATATATATATAAAAGAGATATATATATATAAAAAAGAGATACCCTAAAACATGGCAACCGCCAAGAAAGACAGTTTGAGAGACCAAGCCCATCAAACCTACACTGCCACCACCATAAACAAGATCAATCTTTCTGTCAACCTGCAAAAATGGCTATTAATTAATTAATTAATTAATGTTCATTTGTTATAATATATCATGCTATACGTACATTTACACACACACACCCGTGCTGGTGTGTGAAAAATAAAACGTTTAATATAATAATATTACCAGTTGTTTGCCAAGCTGGAGAGCGGCATCAGAGAAAGAAGATCTGTAGCCAGTTCTGCTGCCACAGAATACACATATTCTCTTGAATTTCGATCGTGGCAGCCCTTCTTCTAATCCTTCCATAATTAATATATATATATTGAGTTCTTTCTTCTTCTTCTTCTTCTTCTTCTTCTTCTTCTTCTTCTTATATATATATGTAGAGAGAGAGAGAGAGAGAGAGAGAGAGAAGAAAGAGTGTATGTATATATTGTGGGGGGTTATATAAGTAGAGTTGGATGCAAACAGAAACACTACCTTTTGTCTCCTCAAACAAATACCCTCTTTTGTGTTGGAGAAGACCCCAACATCAACTCTCCCATACCCCATCTCTCTCTCTCTCTCTACCTCTCTTTCTGATCTCTCATACACTGTGTATGAGAGTGAGAGAGAGAGAGAGAGATGGGGTTGGCCCCAATTGTCCCGACTCGAACAGGG